TGATTCAACGCGTACAATCGGATTGGGAAACTGCGGAAACAAGTTCAGCCGCAGTACACTTCCTACCCTTGTCAGTTTATTCACCTGGAGGCAATCTCTCTACTCTTTTCGAATAGGAATACGAGAGAGAAACGGCATGGCCCATCCAAAGTACGACGTATTATGAGCAATGTGTCTTTACACAAGCAAGTACGGTACTGGGTTAATCATTATATATCATCAACATACAGCTAAGTAACTTAAGGAAACACGAATTGTCGGACTGTTATAAAATGAACCAGATTCTATACATTATGACACAGCTATACTACTCCCCTATTAGGCCTACATTTGAATAATAGGGGCTTATGTGAATAATTTACGTTGCCAGATTCACCAGGTTCCTTAGAACTGCCGTGTAGGCCTACATGTCTTTTAAGCTCATCAAACAATTCATTGAAAGTCGGTCTTCGTGAAGGGTCCATATCCCAGCATCTCAACATTATCTGATACCTGAAAATGAGATTAAGAAACGTAAAGCCTAAAAAACCATGTTCAGTCATTGAGGTTCAATGAATTGTAAAATGAGCAATATTCAATGATTTCAGAAATCACTCCTTTATTCTACTATCATGATAGTCATATATAACCCTCGCATATTCCATTCTACATCATCTGTCATCTGTCATCTGTCCTAAATATATGAATATAGTGATAGTAAAATAATGGGGTGCAGAAATTATGTCGCATTCATTTACAGGTAAGATTTTACACAAAACTTCTGTTCTGGAATTTTTTATAACTTACATGTATTGAGGACAATCAGGTGGTCGTTCCATACGTTTTCCTAATTTTAGAAAGTTTACGAGATCTTCTGACGGCAGTGTGTGATACGGAGGTGGGTCACAATATTTAAAGATCTCAGACAATACGACTCCAAATGACCATCTATAGAAAAGTTTGTTAATTTCAACTGTTTGTTAAAACGAATATATGGTTCTGTACCTTGTGTATACTAACAGTATATTTGTATTACTTCGGTTACTTACACGTCACTTTTTGATGACATCTTTCGTTCGGTAAAGGTTTCAATAGCTTGCCATCTCCAGGGAAGGGCCTCATCTGTTTTCATTCTACGAT